TCTTCTTCACTTCATCCTCTAACTTTGCGAAGTGACATCATGAAGGCTTTTTCACTTGCAAGAATTGCAACATTTTGTATTATAACCAAGTCAAAAACTACAATTTCGTAAATGAGTTATCTAAATCTTATGTAATTGCAAACAAAACTGATTTTGAATCCCTAAACTTCAGATTCGATACTTCTAAAATAAATTTTTTTTTTTAAAAAATATTCTAAATTTTGAACTTAGAAAGTATTAAAAAATGTAAATCCACTACTTTAACTGTTAACATCCAAATGCAAGTAATAAATCTTTTTTTATTTCAAACAAATATCCGAAATAAAAAAAATAAATTTATTTTTTTAACTTAGCATAATTAATGTACAAAAGAAACCAATGAAATCCAAATTTGAATTTTTCAGGTTCCAATTTAGCAACAAAAATTGGAGAAAAAAAAAACCCTACTCCCTCCGGTAATTGCTTTTCTAGTGAGAAAATAATCACTTTCCGCTCTTTTTCATCCAAGCCTTCCGCGCATCAACGGATGGCTAATCCCATGTGTAACCCACACATATTGTTGTGATGAATTTGTGACAATGCCATAGAAAGACTATGAAAGATCATATCCTCATGAGTTCAAAGGCATCAATGAAAATGACTACTTACACTATGCTCACTCACCAAATAAACCTATAGCACTGGAATTCAGGTCATGATCACAATCCAATTTCCAACTGAACCAACCATCACTCCCACCTTTTAAATGACATTCTCACAAATCTTATGTTTCCTGAAGCTGTAAATCAAAATATTCCTCACCTATGACCTAACTCATCTCTCTCCAAGTCTCGACAGCATTATCAAAATTCACAATAATCCAACAATCAAGGGTCTAATGAACATTATCAAAAAACAAAAAAAGGTTTAATGAGCATGATTCATCAGTCTATGATTCATAAACAAGAGGGACACTTTTATGTTACATGCACTCGTCTCAACTAACAAAAAGATATTCAAGATAAAAGTTGAGTGGCATACGATCTATTAGCAGTTGGTACACAATGCTTTTGATAGTAGAGTAGATGATTAGAACACCAAAGCACAACAAAAAGCCGGAGATAATAATGTTAATGACAAAAATTCAAACCATACAGATTCATTGGATTTAAAGACAGAACAGGCCATTTCCACATGTTCCTTCTGACCGGTAAGATGAGAAGCACCACCTCCATCTGCAAGATACATACCCCATGAATGAAGAATCAAATAAAAGACAGTAAAGATCTTCACAATAGATGATCCGCAATTAGATGCGCAAGTAACAAATAAATTGAAGGAAATGTAGGCATCTGAATTTACCTTGACTTTCATTTATCTGCTGCGCCTGGGTGACAAATCAGCAGACCTAGATCTAGATCCAGAAGGTGATCTCGAAGCTCGTCCAGGTGAAGAAGTCCTCCAGTGTGCACGTGCTTCATCAGACTCGTACAAAGCTTTCCTACAAAGTTGTATCTAATAAATTCACATGCAACTTTCCTACAAAGTTGTATCTAATAATTCACATGCAACCAACCTAAAAGGAAAAGCTATAAAAAGAAATGCACATGAACATCAATTCCAGACAGTTTCAAATCCCCAAAATGAAAACGGGGGAAAAAAATTCCAAACCAAACGTCCACCAAGAGTCCAAGGATCACCCTGCCTCAAAATCCAGATCCTCTCCAGCACTTATTTTGTCTAGCCATCATCAAACACTTGATCCAAAGGCTACAATTCAAGAGCTAGTCATTATCATATTTTGTGGCTTTTGGATCAAATGATTGCTGGACCAAGAGTCCCCAGACACAGGTAATATACTTCATCACCCTGCCTCAAAATAGTAGGTCCAAACAAGAGAGCATACTTGAATTGAAGTCAACCCTAATAGAACCTCACATACATCATACATGCTTAATTTGACCAGCACTCATTATCACTACCAGGTAATAGAGAGAAACACTGCCCTTCAGAGAAGAAAGATTTTTTTTTCTTTTTTTCTTTGCGGGAAGGAAGATAGAGGAAAGGACTGGGCTTGCGGCCGGCCTGGGTGGTTGATGCACATCATAGAACCGGGAAGGAGAACCAAGGTGCCCTATAGAAGAAAACTGTGGATTTCACTAGTAACAATGACGTCACAATCCATTATAGAAATCATGATTTCTATCAGGAATCCCACATAACTCGAGGATTTTCAAACATGTCTCTATAAAATTTTTAAAAAAAACCAATCCTTCAATTAGTAAAATTGTACCATTTATAGAACTATATGGTATAGTTGTACTTTCACTTACAATTTGCCTTTTAATTCCCTCACCTCACCAATCATAAACATGATAGATATAACAAATTACATATATCTATATATGCATAGAAACATTTTGACAAGATTATGAACTTTCTGTATATTTAACCAAAAATTGAAATTTGTAAACCCATATTTTGATATACATAGATTCATATCAATTCTTAAGATTCACCCCCAAATATATCAAAGATGATTCTCCAATTACAACTATGGGATAAATACATACAAAACCGTATATATAGATGTGACTTTCATACATTTGCGATTGTACAAAATACATGCATAAGAACTAAAACCAGAACTGTTCGAGTTTCGATACAAAATCAAAATAGTTCGAAAATCGACGTAGCAAACAAATAACATGAAATAAAGTGAATTATTTATTCAGATAGAAATTGAGCAAATAAGATTTGTCAAGGAACATAAACAATTTCTATCTTTAACAGGTTCTCATAACAGAGTACTATAAGAGTTTTACCAAAAACAGAAACTACAACCAGAACAATGTTCTGTTGTTCATAAACATTGTTTCTCAAAATTCTAAATCTGTATGAAAGTAGTTACTAAAGTAACCAACCAAAAATAAATTGATTTCTGGTAGATTCAAACTACTTATAAGTTATAATCGAAACTGTTTTAACAATGATAAATCTGTTTAACAACAGTTCTGATACATAAAACAATATTTGCCCAAAAATTATATACATGGCGAGTCTGTCTTAAGATTGTTAGAAAAAATAGTATCAAACTATAAGGAAAATATAATGTAAAATGATATAAATGCTTTTTGGGCAAAACCAAAAACTCAAATATATCAACATAATAACGTGATAAAACTTACAGTACGTAAACAGATAAAACCTAATCGAGTCGAGTGTGTGACACTTTTTCCTTAAGACAGATTCGTCCTCCCACCGGTGCTTAGGATTCAATGGACGTCTATCTCCCAGGATACAACGATGAATGTCTTGCACTAGCAGCACTACTATTGCAAGCCTAGCGAACTTTGCTATGCATGAACTCTCTTTATAGGAAAATTAGACTCAGGCAATATGAAGAATAAATGCAAAGTGAAGAAGAATGGCAATTCCCCATTTAAAATGAAGTGAGGGACATGGAATATAAAGACTACTAAGTGACTCTTCAAAAAGGTTGTGATCCTTCAAAAAGGACACACCCTTTCATTTCAAGAGACGCAACCATTGAAGTAAATTAAATTCAAATTTTCCAACAAAATAATTCTCAATGCATATTTTTTGGAAAAACGAAAAAACTAAAACCCTCTATCTTTTTCTCACTTCCTCCATTGCTATATTCTATTGTCCTCCATTATTTGCCATAAAATCCTTTGATATTTTTCTCCATTTTTCACTCCCTAAGCTTGTATAAGTTCATAGTTCATTACTTCTATCATTTTTCCATTCAAACCCACCATCATTCTTGATTGTTGTGGTTTCCTCCATAAGTTGGAACCATAGAAGGTCAAAGAACCCATCTTCACCAAGAATTCTTGTGAAATTTTATGTTCCGAAAATTCTTCGATTCAGGGTGTCACGACCCTAACCCGCCTCTAAAGGTTAGAGAGATGATTGACCAATAATCATAAATTATCGAAGGCCTATCCCGACAATCACAAAATATTTAATATAACGGGGCTTGAAGTGGAAGCATTCTAGCAATAATAAATAGATGGAGTGTTCGCGGTTCAGTTGTAGCCAGGGAACCTTCAATGTACCATCCGTCCGCCGGATTGGCAGATTAAAAAAAATCAATCCGCATTCATCCGCCGGATTACGGATTGGCAGATAGATGCGAATCGGTTTGACAGTTTAGACTTTTACAAATTTTGAACATAATACAACAACTTGTCACAATTTTTTTTTGGATAACAATCTAACTCAACATAATCAAAAGATTATTAAGTAAAATTGTCAAATACCAATAATAAATACATATAAGAAAACCATGCATTATTAAAACTATTTCTTTTTTTTTTAATTAAAAAACTATTTAATTTATTTTTTAGAAAAATGACAAAATTAAGCCTTATATTTTTCATATAAAAATATCAAATATCAATACTTGCCATTTGATAAAAGGATTTCCAAATTAAAAACCTAACAAAATATCTAAACTTTTTTTCAATTGAAAATACAAACAGAATATCTAAACAAATTGAGAATACAAAGTCTTACAAATTACAAGAGATGCTCGCGGTTTGGTGATTCGGTTGCAGCCAAAGGAATATCAAATCTGTCATCCGTCCAAAACTAAGCAGATTGGAAAAAATCAATCCATAACCATCTGCTTATCATCATCCATCCGTCCACAATGCTGCAGAATTGGTTCAGTTCGGTTGGTTTAGACATATCGAAATATCCACTGAACACTCTTAATAAATAATCCATTAAGCAGTGTGTAAATGATATGAAAGGAACATACAACCATTACATTACATGGAACTTATATAAATTACATTAAGTACAAAAGTTATGACTTAGCAAAAACTTTAACAAAAGACAAAAACATAAGCCTCGACTCAGCGACACATCTTTGAAGGCCCTTAAAGGGTTCACTCCAATGCAAACTCTAAGGTTACTCCTCATGTTGCTCACTTACATACATATAAGGAAATGGGATAAGCTAAATCCCAATGAATAACATCAAAGTAAAGTGGGTAATGAATGAGTTCCAAACATTCTTTAAAATAATCATAACATACTCAAATGACATTTTCAGAAATAAACAATAAACTTTTATTAAAACATTCATAAAGTAAACACAGATTATGTGGTACATCAAATAGAGTAAAACAAAATGACCTCTTCGGGTCTAGAACAGAACAGAGCAACCATGATAGGTTGGAAACAAAATGAAGATCTTCGCGGTCAAGGCATATGCACGTCCCCCCCAAGGTTAGGACTCATTAAAGATGCCACAATAGATTAACAAAAGGGAATACTCATTTATTCAGAACAAAATATAATTTTCTTAGAACAATTCATTTCATAGCATTTTCAAAATTACATATACAAAAATAACTTTACTAAGATATTACTCACTGTTGGCTTGGTTCCGGTAATACTCCTTGTAGGTCTGACCTATATAACACACAACATCGATAAAGCAAAAGCAATCAATTGGACTTAACTTCCTTCTTCTATTCAGTTTAATTATTAAGGTTCCGTTTGGTAACACTTACATTTTCAGTTTTCTGTTTATATTTACAAAGATTTTAAAAACTCAACTAAAAACTTGTTTGGTAAAATTTTTGATTTATAAATCAGTGGTCTCTGTTTATAAATTTGGCCAAAAAATGAAAACCCAAAAAATGTGTTTCCATTTTGAGTTTTCATTTTTTTTTTTATCACCCAACCATTACAGCCACCACCCGTCACCATTTATCCACCACCGTCTTTCACGTCATTCACCACCCACCCTCTACCACAACCTGCCACCACCACTCACCACCCCACCTGCTACCACCGCCACCACCCGCCACCATCAGCACACACCCATTCTGCCACCCACTCGCCACCACCACCCCCCCTGCGCACCACCACCCAACCCTCGCCCCACCACCACCACCACCCACCCCACCTGTCATCCACCCGCACCACCTTGCCACTACCATTCACTGCCTGCCACCACCGCCAGCCTTACTATGCCGATCACCACTCACAGCCCACCTGACACTACCATTCACCACGCCACCACCAGCCAACCTGCCACCACCTGCGACCAAGCCACCCCCCCGACCACACCACACCACCATCACCCCACCACCACCGCTACCACCTGCCACACCACAACCATCCCCACCCCAACCCTCACCCCACCCACTGCACCCCTTACCATGTCGTCCACCCGCTATCACGTTATCCACTGTAAATCACTCGCTACCGCCCACACCAACTAAGGGCCAACCACCACCACAACGCGCCACCTACCTACCACTACCACCACCACCAACCACCACCACCACCACCACCCCACTCGGCAGGTACACCTACCACCCGCCCACTGTCACCCCACCCACTACCAACCCCACCACCCGCCATCCGCACCACTTGCACTTCTCCCTGCCACCCACCCTACCCACACACTGGCCCACCAAATCACGCCCGACTCAGGCCACCGCCCCATCCGCACCTCGGCGACCCCACACACCACCCACCACCACCGACCTCCGCCACTCACCCCACCTGCACACCACCGACCCGTACACCACCCCACACCCCCCACCTACCCACTCGCTACCACTATCCTACTACACTCAGACCACAGACACACACCACCTAACCCCACTCCGCACTCCCATCCCTACCCGCCCCTACACCTCGGCATCGCCCACCCACCCCCTGCGTCAACCACCACCCAGCACCCCGCCCACCACTCCCATAACTACACCCACCACCCGCCACCGTCACCCCCACCCACACACCACCACCACC